CAGGCGGATCTTTGTGAGTTCGAGGCCAGCCTGGGCTACCAAGTGAGCTCCAGGAAAGGCGCAAAGCTACACAGAGAAACCCTGTCTCGAAAAAACCAAAAAAAAAAAAAAAATTTAAAAAAAAAAAAAAAAAAGGAAAAAGAAAAATAAACAAAGAAAGAAAAGAAACATATATACATATACACTGAAAGAAAGAGAGAGCTCACACAAATACAATGCAATCCTTTTGCAGGAAAAAAAGTCAACCTGCCAACAGTGAAATACAAACTCTAGGTCAGATAAGATGGATGGGGTGGGTAAGGGTGCCTGCTACACCCAAGCATAATAACCTGAGTTCCATCTCCAGAACCCACCTAAGGATGGAAGGAAAAAGACTCTGTAAGGCTGCCCGCTGACTTTCACACATGTGCACGCACATACATACACACACACACATACACACGCACGCAAGCACACGCACAAAAATACATTAAATCAAAAAGAAAACAGCTCTAAGCTTACTTGCTAGTGACCTTGAACAGGTTACTGAACTTTAAGCATTCTGGGGCTGAAGATATATTCAAACTGGTCGAGTGTGTATCACACAAACAGCAAAGCGTTGAATAAATAACACCTGTTTCTACAACAACTACTTGGAAACGCTCCTGCCCCTCTTTTTAATCCAAACTTAATCCTTCGAGTCTCCTATTCACACACAAATTTCCTCCAGGAAGCCTCTATTTTCCTAACCAAACCTACCCAGATCTGGTTCCGGGATTTAGTCATTCATTTACAAAGTACTTTTATTTTTAGACAAGTATTAGCATGCGAGTAAAAGAAACCGCCTATAATCTGATACTACGGGAGATCACGGCAGCAAAGTGTTCCCTCGTGCAGAGTAGCCTAGTAAACGGATCCTAAGTTTTCTCCAGCTCTCAAGACAGCCATAGATGCGGCAGAGGAACCGGGCGAGTTACCTCAACGTTGTCTGTGAGACCGTACTCGGAGTGAGGGTTTTCTGCAACCTAGAAAACAAAAAATACAGTCACAGAGAGAGACATCCGCCCGTTCCGCGCACCGCCTCCCTGCACACCGCCGCTCGAAATCCAAGGGCCTCCCGGTACCTGCGTCTGCCCCTCCAGCATCTGCTCCGACTCCATGGCGGACCCTGCAAACCGCAGTCAACCGGATACCAGTCTTGCAAAACAAGAAGAGCCGCGAGTTAGTTACCCGGGAGATTTCAAGTGGAAGACGCCAGGATGCGGTGCAGCCCAGCCCGGGACCCCGCCCCTCACCCCCGCGGGCAGCAGACGCGCGGGCTGGGACGGTCCACGGACTGGCCGTCCGCGTCGCATCGCGAAGCTCGGAGGTCGTCCCAGGGATCGAGCCGTGGGAGGAGGAGGACGGGGAGCTGATTACCCGCGCCAAGGCTGTCGGTTCCTAAGTGCCCTGCACGGCGCCACCGACTCCCAGCGCGAACCGCTTCGGCCGTAAAGTGAGGGACGTCGCGCTGCTGCCGCGCCTGCGCAGAGGCGGAACCGCTGGCAGGGGTGCCCGAGCCCGCCTAAGAGGGAGGGCCTGCGCCTCTGCCTGGGCACCTGCCGGCCCCTCCCTGCTGCAAACAGTGCTGTAAGCGGTCCTCGGCGCCGCCTGGAAGTGTCTGTCCCCGAGGAACCGAGACCATCCACTTGCTCAGTGATTCTTAGTAGGAAACCATAGGCCCAGGCGTTTCATCAAAGCCAAAGAGGGGCTGGAGAGACCCCGTCGCCCGGCGCTTAATGACTTGCTGCAGTTTTGCAGAGGAGTTAGGTTTGGTTCCCAGCACCCACGTGGCGGCTCACCAACATCCCTAACTCCAGTTCCAGGGATCTGACGCTCTTGTGACCTACGCTGGCACGAGGCACTCATGTGCTCCACATAGCATGCTCAAAACACGCAGACATATAAAATACTATATATATATATATATATATATATATATATACATATATGTTTGTGTGTGTATATATATATATGTATATATATACACATATATCCCATTTTTAAAGAACTAATTTCTTTTGTTGTTCCTTTTTTCATTATTTTTTAAGTGAGTGTGCACAATGTGTGTGTGTGTGTGTGTGTGTGTGTGTGTGTGTGTCTGTGCTTGTGGAAGAATAACTTCGAGGATGTATCTTCTGCCATGTTGGATCCAGGGATTGAATTAACGTCCTTAGTTTTGGCAGCAAGCAAGTTGATCTGCTGAGCTGTCTTGCTAGACTCTATATTTTAATTAGAAACTTCCTATTCAATATCTGGAGATTAATCATGGCACATCCATATTATGGAAAGTAAATCATTAAAATCAGGTGGGGTAGCCGGGCGGTGGTGGCACACACCTTTAATCCCAGCACTCGGGAGGCAGAGCCAGGCGGATCTCAGAGTATGAGGCCAGCCTGGGCTACAGAGTGAGATCTCGGACAGGCTCCAAAGCTACACTGAGAAACTCTGTCTCAAAAAACAAAAAACAAAAAACAAAACAAGCCGGGTGTTGGTGGCGCACGCCTTTAATCCCAGCACTCGGGAGGCAGAGCCAGGCGGATCTCTGTGAGTTCGAGGCCAGCCTGGGCTACCAAGTGAGCTCCAG